TGAAGCTCCAGAGGGGGTTGCGTCGTCCGGAAGCGTCGCTGAAGCTCCAGAGGGAGTTGCGTCGTCCGGAAGCGTCGCAGAAGCTCCAGAGGAGGTTGCGTCGGCCGAAAGCGTCGCTGAAACTCCAGAGAAGATACTCATGAAACTCCTGAGACTCTTGCTGAGAAACCAGAGGTGAAGCAAGTGGGAGTTGATGTTGAGTTGCTCAAAGATTCACAGAGTGATGTTGTAGCGGATACTCATGAAACTCCTGAGACTCTTGCTGAGAAACCAGAGGTGAAGCAAGTGGGAGTTGATGTTGAGTTGCTCAAAGATTCACAGAGTGATGTTGTAGCGGATACTCAAGAAACTCCTGAGACCCTTGCTGAAAAACCATAGGAAAAGCAAGTGGGAGTTGATGTTGAGTTGCTCAAAGATTCACAGAGTGATGTTGTAGCGGATACTCATGAAACTCCTGAGACTCTTGCTGAGAAACCAGAGGTGAAGCAAGTGGGAGTTGATGTTGAGTTGCTCAAAGATTCACAGAGTGATGTAGCAGATACTCAAGAAACTCCTGAGACTCATGCTGTTGGCGAGGAACCCAATCTATCATTCAAAATACAGAAGGCGATACCATTTCACTCGGAAGTTGGTTGAAGATAGTGATGTGTTTTGAGAAGATAGAGGGTGCAAAGAATCCAGCAAACATGTTGACAAAATGTGTTGATGTTGGAATATTGAGGTTGTGCGAAACCTCAATTGGTATGGTGCAGTGAAGATGCTCATGGTCGTCTGAGAGTGAAATTCTTGGTTGACTAGATCAGTCTCCAAGTGGGAGAATTGTTAGGCTATGGAGCCTGATACTTATTTATAGCTTGGTCAACGGTTATATCCGGTAAAGCTATATTTGGTAAGCGATATATCCGGTAAAGCTATATTTGGTAAGCGATATATAGTAAAGCTATATATGGTAAAGCTATATCCGGTAAAGCTATATATGGTAAATAGTTATATATAGTAGATGGCTAAATCTGGTAAAGCTATATATAGTAAACTATACCATATATATATCTGGTCCGGTAGAGCTTTGTAGATGTACTTTTCTATTCTCTGTACTCTCTTGTTGTACATGCCTGAAGTCATCAATAAAAAATCCTTTTAGCCAGAGTTCTCCTTGCAACTTCTCTCTATCCTTCTTTTTGTGTTCATCTAGATCGAGCGTGTGCGTTGTTGTGCGATCCTAACAACTGGTATCGATCCTAACAGTGAGATCCCACGTTTGGTTGAATTGTAGCTCATCAAGCCTTGCATTGTGACTTGAGACCTTGAACACCGTGCACGGAATGAAAGACGACAAAGTTAGGGTTTCTTTTTTCAAATTTATGGGTGTTACATAATCAAATATTGAATATTTATGAAAATTTGATATTAAAAAAAAAAATCCATAGGAAATATATATATATATATATATAAATGAAGACGACAAGGACATCACAATGAGGATTATTATGTAAGGTTTTATTTAAAATCACGTGGACTAAAGAAAAACAACAATATGGGTTTTATTAGTTTCTTTTTTCTAAATTAATAAATAATAATATTTGAAGATTATTTCTAACGTACAATTGCTCCAAGCCAAACACGAAATTTTTAAAGTTTTCATGATCGAGTCATCAAAAGGAAATGTGTTATATTTGGTAGAAGTAGTAATTATCGGTTCTTTTTAGGTTTTTTTTTCTTAATCATCATATTCTCATAACCATTCTTAAACGGACGTGATCTTAATTCGTTTATATACCTATTCTTTACTTGCGCGTTACAATTACAACATTTAATTGGACTCCACATGTTGGTATTAACTTGGATTATCCCCTATCAGAACTCCAATATAAAATTGATTAGGGCAGCTTAAGAGGCACTTCAAGAGGCGCTCATGTCACAATCACACTTTTACGGTAGCAGGACAACGATTGTACGACATTTGTTCTAACCTATCGAACAAGTTAGCCGTGTGAAATTAGGACTTCATGGACAATATCGGCGCATGCCAAGCCTCGAATCACGTTTGAGAGAAATGTTTTAGAAAACGTAAATGAGAAAATACGTTGACAACTAGTAGGCATACAAGTATATACATGATTTTGGTGACTGGTCATATACCTTCTTATTGACACAACAAAAATAGTAAAAACTTATCCAACATGAAAGTAAGTAAAAAGAGTTTAGAAGAAGCATATGGCCATGGACAACACATCCTAGACATTCGACATACGGTCGTAGCCAACATGTCTTAGACAAACATGATCATGATAACCAGCACCGACAAAGTTCCATACCCCTAATTCACGCGTTAGAACATAGGGACTACGAGATTACGAGATTTATTCTAATAGTTCTAAGTTTGAAATAAATAAATAAATAAATAATGCGTATAGTATGTTTTATGGTTGGAAAATGCAAAACAGGGAGACAAAACATAGCCGTAATTTAGAAAAACATTTCTGTATAATATTAAAATAAAATAAATACAAAAACATTTCTGTATAATATTAAAATAAAATAAATACAAAAAACATTTCTGTATAATTGGAAGGTTTTGCGTGTTCAATAATGAAGATTCCTGGTGGCGGTGCCAGCTGTATCATAGCTGTCACTAAATAAATTCCATCCCCAAAATCTCCTTCTTCAACCTCACGCCAGATATTCTTCTTTCCCTTTTTACCCTTCCCCCTTTTTAACTAAACTCCGCGCAGACGCGTTCTCCTCTCCAATGCCGTTCCCCTTCACCTCTCCATTTTCACTCCCTTCAACTCACTGCCGAGCTCCACTGCCTTCTTCAAACTGACCCGCCGGAATCCTTCTCAAACTCCGACAATGCACGCCAAAACCGACTCCGAAGTCACCAGTATTGCGCTCTCTTCTCCCACCAGATCTCCCCGCCGTCCGGTTTACTACGTTCAGAGCCCTTCCAGGGATTCTAACGATGGCGAGAAGACTGCGACGTCGTTTCACTCTACTCCTGTTCTTACTAGTCCCATGGATTCCCCTCCCCATTCTCGCTCCTCCGTCGGCCGTCACTCCAGAGAGTCTTCTTCCAGCAGATTCTCTGGATCTCTCAAACCTGGATCCAGGAAGATCTCTCCCAATGACGTCTCTCGCGGCGGCCATCGGAAGGGACAGAAGCCGTGGAAGGAGTGCGATGTTATTGAAGAGGAAGGTCTTCTCGAAGATGAAGATCGGGAGAGATCTCTTACTCGTCGCTGCTATATCCTCGCTTTTGTTTTGGGATTTTTTGTTCTGTTTTCTCTTTTCGCTTTGATTCTCTGGGGTGCTAGCAGGCCGATGAAGCCCAAGGTCACAATGAAGGTACGACGTCGAGTTCTTTTTTGGAATTAGGGCTTTTTGTTTGTGTTCAGAGCGAGAGATTTAATTTCCTTCAATTGCAGAGCATTAGATTCAATCAATTCAAAGTCCAAGCCGGTTCAGATTTCACCGGCGTCGCCACCGACATGGCCTCTGTGAATTCCACAGTCAAACTCACATTTAGGAACACCGGAACATTCTTCGGCGTCCATGTCTCTTCAACTCCCGTCGATTTAACCTATTTCGAAATCTCAATCGCATCAGGAGCCGTAAGTTCTCAAAACCCTAACCCTAACTCCCAAACTTCTCATCATCGAATCTGAACCAATTATTGGAATTTGCAGGTTAAGAATTTCTATCAATCACGGAAGAGTCAGAGATCTCTCACCATCAACGTAATCGGCACAAGAATCCCACTGTACGGCAGCGGAGAAAGTCTGAGCAGCCCCGCCGGAACTCCTATAACTCCAGTGCCATTGAAACTGAGCTTCGTGATCAGATCCAGAGCCTACGTATTGGGACAATTAGTGAAGCCAAAATTCTACAGACACATCGATTGCCCCATAATTTTCGATCCGAAGAAACTCAACGTTCCCATGTCGCTCAAGAATTGCACAGTCAGCTGAAAACGAAATCCAAATCGATAATCAATCACTTCATCATTTATTAAATCAGTACTTGTTTTCTTTGTTCTTGAGGTGTCTAGGAGTTCCAAACTGCGACAGCTCGAAAGCGGCATCCAAACAGGAAACGGGAAAGGGCAATAGAGGAATAAGCGACAGAAACGGGGTTTCAGCTGCCTGCCCGTTTGCCCGAGTAGTGAAATACAGGTTGGTTTACGGGCAGCGACACGTGAATGGACGTGGACTTTATTATTATTATTATTTATTTTCAAATTAATAATTTATAATAATATAATTAAATTTTAAAATTACATTTTTCCCGTTCATGATTGTATTATTATTAGTCTTAATAATGGATTACGTATATTTTTTGAGTCTGATTTGTGATTTGGCCCATAATGAACGGTGGCTGATTGGTAAAATAATTGTGTCCAGAGGGGCCAATTTGTCTTTTGGATGTTTGTTGTTTTTGTTGAATTCAATTATTTATATATATTATTTTATTTATTTCGTGGAAATTGGTGAGAGATAAGTAAAGTAAAGCATAATTTCAAGCATTTTTTTTAATCCATGTAATAATGCATGCATGTGATGATCTTTGACTTTATAATTGTACCAAAAATATAAAAATAAAAGTCTTTATAATTTTATTTGTTTGATTTGACTTACAATCACTATCTAATTATATTACTTTAATCTTTATTTCTTTATTCAATTAATAAAAATATATTGTTTAATAAATACTTCTAAAATTTCAATGCGAAGGGTAAAAAATACACCCACTATTCTTTGAATTTCATTTGTGTTGTGACGAGGACTCGAGTTGTTTTAATTAGGTGCTCACCTCTAAGCGTAATCTGATCTAAAATGAATTGGCTTGGCTGGCCTTGGGACAAGCAAAAGAACGAAACTAGTTATCCTACCTCCTGTTTTTTCCTTTCTTCTTTCGCTCGGATTCTCCATGATATGAGGTTTTATATATAATATGAGGAATCGGATCCCATTCAGATTTTTCATTCTCTACTTTCTGTCCACGTCTAGTCACTTAAAACACTATCTTTTCTAATGATAGGAAGAGGTAATAAATAAGGATCGAAGACTAAAAAAAGACTCTTAGCAAGTAGTGCCTCTACGTCTTTAGGCAATGCACCACTGTTGTCGTCTCTTTCTTTGTTTTAAAGGAGAGTTGCGTTTAAAAATACTTCTAACTTTCAAAAGTAATACAAAAAAGTTTAGAGATGAGAAAGCTCATTGAGCTTTCTATGGGCATGTGGGCTTCGACTTTTAAAAAGTTTTGGGCTTATCAACTTTGAATCTACTTTTTTTCAGCTTGGAAATTTGTCCCCTTAAAACCAAAGTTGATAACCATAAGGGTGGGCTAGAAAAAGTCGAAGATGGTTGCTAACGACGTATGATGCTATGATCTCGTTTCTTGAGAATAATCTTGTGATTTTCAATATCGAAAAGGTACCTGAATGACCTGATATCACATTCGAATGAGAAAGATCCCATTAATATAGTTTAATAAATCCAACTGAAAAAGCTGAAAAATGGTAGATATCACTGAGATTATGAACGAATTAAGCTTAATCTATCATTCCATTGGTAGCAGTATCATCATATTTTATTATATATATCAATAAAATATATCTTAAAATGAATCTCTCTCACATTTGTAACAATCTATGTCAAAAATTCGATTAAGGATTCAAAATCTAGATGACCCGACATTACTTTACTTTCACTTATAAGTGTGAAGGCTATCCCACAGACCAACACAAGTCATTCTAGTCACTCACCTGTATCATAGGAAAATTTTAAAGAGGCCACCCAACATAAAATTACTTCAAGTAAAATACATTTAACTACGGAATTTCCACGATTGAGCCACTAAAAAGAAGATGCACCTTATTGGTACCCTAGATTCGCTCTCATTCAGATGCAATCTCGATTAATTGATGTACCTCTTCTTTACTTGGATGTCACAAATAGCTAAAATCTTATGAAACTCAAACATAAAATTTTACAAGTAGCAAGCATCATTAACATCGGATACAAATGTTAAATACTTTTCATTTTCATAACAATTTTAAAACAGTACACTATTCACTATTCAGTCCAATTATAAAATTATTTTGGGTTGACTTAACCAAACAAATTTCAATACCAAAACTAACTAAATTTTCATTTCTTAAAAAATTCAACTCGACTTATACTAGAAAAAAGGAACTAAGAGTCAGGTAGTTCGAGTTGTTTATGTCACATAAACAGTCCTAGATGTCTCAACTAACTAAACTCGTGTTATATTATAAAGTAGATACCATCATCAAAATATTCTTTTTAATAATTTATATATATATATATATATATATATATATATATAATATTATTTTATTATTATTTTGTGGTAAGAATATGAACCATTATTTAACTGAGGGTAAGGTAAAAGGTTAAAAAATTAATGTTCCCTTCAAATAACTATTTACAGTAAAGAGTGGTAAAAGGTAAATTTTAAAAAAAAATTAAAAAAGAAAAAATCCAATTTTTGAAAGTTTCATAATATCTTTGTCGTGCAATCATTTCGCTTCGTACGATAAACCATAAACCATATATAATAATATTATATATTCTCTTTCTGGAGTTTCGCACGTGACTCCCAGATCTATACGTGCGGGCCACTCGTGTAAAACTTTTTTCTTTTATAACACAAAAAAAAGAAAAAAAAAAAACTGTATATTTATATAAAATAAAGGTTAAATTATAAATTTGAAATAAAACTTAGTATTAAACACAAAACAACGTACGAGAGAGAAGGGTTACTATAGTTACAAGCGTTAACGAAAACTCGAACTTTTCGACTCCATAGAAGTAAGCTACACAAGCTTCTGTTACTTCAGCTCCAATGACACAGTTCACTTGAATTCTTTACGAGAACAGCTAACCATGCCACAATAAAACTGCGTCGATACCACGTTCGATGTTGATCTATACAATGTTGATCCCACGCCATTCATCAGTTTGATATCTCAAATCTATCTGTCAAAACAAGATCATGATTGCATTGATCAACATTCATGGAAACTTTTGATCGAAACAAAACTTTTGTTTAAGAACAAACTAGACATGGAGTACAATGGTCACGGTCATGGTCATGCTCATCCAGGGCGTGTTAACCATGACTACATACCCATGTCACACCGAATCCTTTATTTAATTTGATGTTGTATTGTTTTACTATTTTATTTTTTGTTTGTACGACTACTTTTCAAGCCCTGCCAGACCTGAATCGCCTGAAAATGTACATAAAAGGGTGTGACTAGTTGTCAACTCCTCTCCTGATTTTGTATGACCGTTTGGCAAAATCATGTCTAGGTCTGTCAGACCTAAATCGCCTCAAAATGTAATATATAGAGGATGCCACTAGTTGTCAAATTCTCTCTACCCAAAAAGTTATATACTATTTAGGTCGTTGTATTGCTTTTTGCTTATAGTTATATAACATTGCTTTTAAATCTTCTCCCATTCTTACTTTCAAACTCGCTCTCTAAAATCTCTCTGCCCCCGTTTTCTAAAACCTTATTCTCAATCAGGGCCAATGGTTTGAGCATACGTTACCTAGCCATAGGTGACACAAATACAAATTGGCTTGACTCACTCAGTGTTACGAGGGATTGTGACACCCGGCTCATAAAGTGTTGCTATGATAAAATCTTAATCCTATACGACAAAAGATCGTGGATATATCGAAAATGTTTAACATGAATGTAAAAAGGAGATCGAGTGTTGATCGAGCTCCAAACGCAGCAACAAACACGACATGAGACAGAAAATTAGAGATCTAACCAAGAAAGAAGTGTCACCTGGTAGAATGCAGCACTAAAAAGCATGGCAGGTGAAACAACCACTTAGGGAGCTCATATGACGGCTTCCATTAAAAGATAGAGACTTGAAAGAAGATGTCCTGTTATCTTGGAGGGACTGGTTTCCCATCACTGAGTTCCTCATTTCTTGGGCTTTCTTCTGAGCAGATTTCAGTTTATTCAAGATCTTATGCATCGAGCTCGCTCGCTTCTTCTCCAGCTTCATCTGATGCACGATGCACGATGCTCGATGAGTAGGAGCAAGAGCAAAACTACATATAATCCAACATTTCTAAATTTCTAAACACCATAGGAAATGTTAATTATATAGAAGGCTCGAACCTCTAGCTTTCGTATAGCTGCGTCGGCCTTCGCTTTCTGTAGATTCTCCCATGCTGCTATTTTCGCTTCCTCACGCTTAACCCTGCAACGAGAAGTCGGTCAGCAATCATTTTGTATGCTTATATGAATTGTAGGATTTAGTTCTAGTCAGATACATGACACACAGGCAGGTAGACATACTTTGAAATACTTTTTCCCATGATAGGAATGTCTAAATCCGGACAACGAGAAGCCACATCCGCATCGTTCTTCCTCTTGTAGTCGAGAGAATCTTTCCGAGGAAATGACCCTTTATGTTTCTTCGACCATCTTGTCGTGGCGACCTGATTATCGACTTGCACGTCCCTGATATCCAACTTAGAAGAAGTAACAGCTCCCAGCTCAAACATATGCATAGCAGATGAAGTGGAGGCAGTGATTGATGACTTCGTCCTTGGAGATGAATGCATGCTATCCTCCGGGCTCATTTGTGTAGCCACGTCCCTTCTTGAAACAACACGAGAAACGTCTGTCCCCGAGTTCTTGACTGTAGCTAAGTTTTCTCTCGATCCTGCAAGATATCATCTTTTTCATTACAACAATAAGGTCAAGAGTAATCTTATGTCGTTGATACTAAATCCACACGTTTAAGCTACGTCCTTACTCGAGAATTAAGATCCATTATACTATTGCACAAAGAAAACATGTCCAAGTAATTATAATGCAAGATAAGATGATCAGTGCGCAGCTTTTACCTTCTTGCAAGCCTGTTGTTGATGACAATTGACCCGACATTTCAGAGCAGCCATGAACGCTAACTGAGCGTGCCATGGAGGGCTCTGTTTGTCCATGAAAGGACCCTTCATGTCCACCAGAATGAACAGCCAAACCATTCGTTGATACAACTCCAGCTGAAAATGGGGATTCTGTAATGAAGTTCCTAAAAGTCCCTCCTTCATAGGCAGGAGCAGCAGGTGAATACATCGAATAGTATGCAGTACCAGGAGGGCCAAGCGGACCACTCTTCGACTTCGGACGCTGTTGAGGACGTTGAGCCGAAGTCTTCACAACCCCATCACCGGATAGAGGACTAAAGATCCACCTTTCAGCATCTTCCCACTTCGATGGCAACGTTCTACCGCTGTTGAGAGTCAGCAATGCAGGGTTATTAGTATGTTTCCGGCCACCATTGTTCTGCAATGGCACTCGCTCTGAACTCCACCCTTTTGGCATACTAAAGCTATTGTGCCGATAACTCGGCGTCCCAGGGCTTGGAAATGTTGCAGTCTTATGCGTCGTTACTACAACGTTCTTCTTGACAGCCGTTAAACGAGGTGAGGAAGCTGTATTAGCGTTGTTTAGATCCAACGAAGCAGGTTTCTTTTCATCCAGCTTACTGGATTGAGCTTTAGATCTGGATCTATGATCTTGACACTCTGTAAAATCAACCCAGTTCAAGTAAACATTGCAGATAAAGACCGAGGAAAGGGAAAGGTGTTGGATCTGTAATACCTTTAAGAGCAAGAGAAAACGAATTCCTCGCTGAATCGACCGTTCGATTCTCGTCGTCTAAATCGACATTGCTTTCATCTTTATGAACTGGGAAAAAACCAATTAGAACCGAATTTGAAGTGCCTAAAAGTTTCTGTGGGTATGAGATTCTACTTTTTTTCTTTTTATTCTTTTGCCACGAAGCTCAAAAACTAGCTGTACCTTTCTCTTTTTCTCCATTTGTATAGAGACGACTGTGCTTGTTGCTTAGTGCAGGCTTGTTTTGTTCTGGATCTTCATCATGCCCTGCCAAATGCTGCAATCAAAATCATACAACAAAAGCTTTCAATCAAACCTCTGTTTTTCCATCCATATTTGTTCATCAATCATCTACAAAACCCTAATTTCATTACAGTGTTTATACAAAGAAATCTTCTCAAATCGTTTCTAACATGTGGAATTACTAGGAAAATCGAAAACCCCATCAGAACAAACTAGGAAATAAACAACCCCATTATCCCAAATCGTTTCTAATCTCAGAAATCACCCAGAAAAACGAACCCACCAAAAAAAACTCGAAAATAAACAACCCCATTTGAATCCATGCAAGAACAAGATACAAGGAAATGAGATTTACAAGAGAGATTTCAGAGATAAGGGAATCGCGATCGTGGGCTTCCGATGCAAAAGAACATCGCTCAACACTAGCAGAAGCAGAGGAGAAGAGACTAAAACTGGATTCGAGCGCATAAATGACAGAATCAGGACTGGAATCCCGAGCTCTGAAAGCTGGTCTCGACAACGCCGTTTGTTCTCGAAACCCCATCTCCGACAACTTCTTCACTCTACTTCCCTGCATACATTACAGTCTTAAAATCCCCAAAAAGAGAGAAGGAATCGCAAAGAGCCGTATGCAAGGACGATAACAATCCGTCCAAGTTCTTGCACACTTGGGGATTAGAATAAACAAACGGTTCCACTTCTTGGGATAATGGGCTCCTCGTGGAATCTTATTTAATATCGAACTTCAGCGTAGAAAAAAACAGAGCAACCACTCTGTTTCCGTCGACTAGAGACATATTTCCTAACGCCCGTAAAAAAAAAAAAAAAAACCCAGGAATAGTTTGGATTTGTATAACGGAAAGGTAAAGAAATTGATGAAAAAGTATAGAATCTCTGGGGCGTTCCCGTTTGAACGGCGAGCAAAACTGCAGCACCGACATATCTATCAGCGGCCCTGGCAGCGCCTCTGTCCCAGTTGTCTGCATCCAAGTAGCTTGCCTAACTTGGCCTTCTATTTTTTCAATTTTTAGCCCAAAAAAAAAAAAAAAAAAAATTATCCAATAATATTTCTAATTTTATATTTAATAAATATTTGTTGAAATTATTTGAAATTAATTTTTTAGTATGGAAATTGGAATGTAAATTTAAAATAATTTTTAATTAAAGTAATTAGGGTTAGTGGTGTGATAATGAATAAAGTGAAAGATTAATTGAAAAATGTGCATGTGATGGGAATATTAAATAAATGTAAATTCTGGAAAAAATAAATTAATTATTAAAAAAATATTACCATAAAATCAAGCAAATGCATGTCAAGAGATTGACCTTGAAAATGTGAAAGGGCCATCATTTTCTTTTTTTTTTTTTATAAATAAAAAAATAGTAATAATTGGAATATTCTTTTTTCCACGTCAGACTCTGACTTACATTTTAAAATATTTAAAAGAATTTTTCCAACTATTTGTTTAAATTAATTAAAGCATAGAATTTACAATATTTTAATCATAATAAAGTCATTAAAATAATAAGATCGAAAAATAAATAACATAAATTTAAATCAAACAGAGACTAATATAAGTCTTTTAAAAATGTTTTATTATCACTTGCATGTCGTCACTCAGCATACGATTATTTCAAATCAAACATGTTTAACTTATAAGTTCTTATGTTTAAGTTACCGAAAAAGACGATGTGTAAGCCTTTTTAATCATGGGTTTTTATCCTTATAATCACTTCGAGTCGAAAATGATCATGATTCATTTATGTGCACTTCTTTTACTCGAACGTCTCGTAATAATGTTAATCGGTTTGAATTTTACATTAAAATTTTAATGTATAAAAACCCTTTAAAAGGTTCACATTCATTTGGAAAACTATCATATTCATAAGCTTTATTTTTTCTTTGCTCTACTAACCCTACAAACACAACCTTCTTGTTACTTGCCATATTAGCCTCCCCCCTTCAAAATGTTGACTCTTATTACTCCATTTTAATGCACTTTTAATGATGGTGTCACACTCAAACTTCACAACCATTTTTGTAAACACACCCACTTCAAAAATTGAGACGCTTAAAGTAGTTTACAAGTTTCGTGTCTGTTTAATTGGGTTGTGTGTAACGATCTAAGTCCACGGCTAGCATTAGCCTGTTACGTATCGTCGTCAAGGGAGAGGTTTCCACACCCTTATAAGGAATGTTTCGTTCCCCTCTCTAACCGACATGGGACCCACAATCCACCTCCCTTGGAAGCTAAACGTATTCATTGGCACATTGGCACATTGTTCTCTGTCTAGCTCTGATACCACTTGTAACAGCCCAAGTCCCCCGCTGACAGATATTGTCCGCTTTAACCCGTTACATGTCATCATTAGCCTCACAATTTAAAAACATGATTGTTTGTGAGAGATTTTTCAGATAGGTCTAACTTTTACCGGTGTGAAAATAATTGAGAGAAGTAAACTTAGGAGAGTTCGAGTTAGGTTTCATTAGGTTATTATCGAGAGTTCTAAGATAATCGTTTTAAAATCATACATATTCATAGGCATTCGAGGTGAACGATTATAGTTTCAACTCGTAGCTCATCATACATAATGAACAGTTCAATCGAAATGGATTCTTTGTTAGAGAGTAGTCGTCAATAAAGGAGGGAGTGATCATCGTGCCTATTAATTAATATCTACTTGTGTGAACCATTGTATATATTCTCACACACGGTATTCTTATGGCACTATAAAGCTCATACCTATCATGGCACGACTCTATCCATATCAACTTGTAATCATAAAAAAAAAATACAAATGTGGACTCTTGTCGATCGAGGTAGGTTACTATTAAAGGTATGGTGACTGTTTAATAATCCTCACATTGTCGGATCATAATAGGGGAATGATCCCACATCATAGCTAACTATTAAAAACACTATAGATTTTTGTTAATTGAGACACCCGCACTTCGGATTGACTCGTAGGTTGTCGAGTCAGTTCATCCGTTCTTATCCATTAATTTTGAGACACAAGGGGCTAAATTTAATTTTTCCTATGTTATCGATATTTTCCTAACATTGAATATCGAAAGATTGCTTAAGAAAATGGAATAAACACGTGGATAATTTTGATATTTGGATTTTTCTGTGAGTATCAACGTTTTCTAATGCGAAAATGTCGAACAATTAGCTACTCATTCACTCGTAAAAATGATTGTGAATTAGAATAAAAAGCATATGGTCCCATATAGAGATTTTGTGTCCTACCCATATCATTTGATTTAACTATTAATATCATCGTTGCCAAGATTTCTTCCAAATATATGGATTTCGTTCAAAATAATTTAGCATCTCAAATAAATATCTTGAATTCTCGACTTTGACTCAATACACGTGAACTTATAAAATTATTTTTAAAATATACTTCAACTTTTAAAAGTTTTTATAAACTTTCATAAATAACATCAATATCCTCTGATCATGATAAAAAGGTTTTAAAAGTTTTTATTGACAGTCAGATAATTTATGAAGTATAAATAGACATTTCGAGAGTATTAAAAGTAAAAAAAAAAAAATGAACTTGAAGGGTATTTTTAAAATAAAGTACGAGTAGTTTCCATCCAAAATCGAACCCTAAAGAACTTTTTATAAACTGAAATCTAAATTTATATGTACAAATTTTTTCTTCCCTTTTTTTGCCATGGCAGCTGTCTTTTAGAGGACCAAATAGTACACGATACCGTTAAGAGAGGGAGGAAATTTCGTCACATGGTAAAGGTTATCTAGATTTGGACCGAAGAAGAAAAAGTCAAAAAGTGGGTCCGAGGAAGGAGAAATTGTTGGTTATTGGGAGGGAGTCCCACGTTCGCTAATGTACAGAATGATCAAGGAATTATAAGTAAGGAATAGATCTCCGTTGGTATAAGGGTTTGTAGAGAAGCATAAAGCAAAATCACGACCGCTTATGCTCAAAGTAGACAATATCACGTCACAATGTCTGTCGTTCCTAATAGAAATTTCTAGTAAGAGAATCTCAGAGGTTTTATAAACTCAAGTCATGTATGCTGTAGTTTGGCTAAGCTAAGCTAATCTGAAGCTTAGAACTGAAGCACAAGTCAAAAGTAAAAGATTACAAAGCAAATCCTATGGCAATGGTAGCCAATGAATTCAACCTCTTCAATCCTGCTTTCGGGATTGCCATTTACTCGACCGTCGTCGCAGCAGCAGCAGCGCCATAGGAGGGTGGAGGAGCTGTATGAATCGAACAACGCATGCTTTGCGTTCGTTCGAAAGCGATCGATCGAAGTCCTTATGATCGATCCACTTAGAACCAAATCCAACACCTTCAGCAGAATATGTACACCACCATCTATAGCATTATTCTTTTGGCCCGAGATCGGATAACGTCCTCCGAAATCACCACGGACCAGTCTGCGTTCGTCTTAAGCATCGTTTCTTTGTTCCTTGTTGTGTATCCATTACTTTCAATGCCTATAACCAAATGACAGAATTCATCAACAACAATACAAAGCAGAGGTTGTCTCATGCAGACAATTGCAGTATTAAAAGGTAGAATGGTTTGATGAATGGTTTCACCCGCACTACTACTAAAGATATCAAAGGGGAAAGCATACCCGGTTCTTGTGCATTTCCATGATTTCTGCCTGCAACAACCACACAACATAATAATTGAGAATTGGTGATGCCCGTTACTTGATTAACAAGCTCAAGCTCACTCTTGTGTCATACACAAACTTATGTACCTGTTTTTGTCGGAGTTCTTGGTTTTCCTCTTTTAGCTTCGCCACCTCCGCTTCCAGCTCCATCGTGTAAGCCTAGTACGAGCAAAGAAACAATCATGAACATGAGAATCTCTGTAACAGCCCTACCCCACTGCTAACAGATGTTGTCTTCTTTGGGATTTTCCTTTCGGGGTTTCCCTCAAGGTTTTTAAAACGTGTATGCTAGGAAGAAGTTTTAAAACGCGTATTTGGGGTCTAGCGTCTTCGCTGGCACTCGTTCCCTTCTCCAATTGATGTGGGACCCCCCAATCCACCCTCTTCGGGACCCAGCGTCCTTACTGGCACACCACTTGGTGTCCACCCCCTTTGGGCCTCAGCCTCTTCGTTGGCACATCCTCCAGTGTCTGGCTCTGATACCATTTGTAATGTCCAAGTACACCACTAGCAGATATTGTTCTCTTTGTGCTTTCCCTTTCGGGCTTCCCCTCAATGTTTTAAAACGTATCTCCTAGGGAGAGATTTCCACACCCTTACAAAGAATGTTTTGTTCTTCTCCCCAACTGATATGGGATCTCATAATCTCAGTATAAAACCAAAATCATGTATGAATGCATCTAATAAAGAATAGATCAGCATATGGTATGACATGCTTAAGTAGTTGGGTATACAAATGCATCAAATGGTTGGTTTCACACATTGTTTTAGTCTGCAAATAACCATATATCACAACTCCAGGTACACAAGCCACATAGACGCATGTCAACAAGAATTCAAGTCATGTGGTAAACAACAATGAACAAGAACAGATCACCTGCTTTCGAGCCCGCGATCGAGCAGCCGACTCCCTGTTCTTTATCATTCTGCGCTGCCTCCTCTCGACAACCCTGTCCAGAGTCCCATTACATCTCCTCCCCCGCACTCCATTAAGCGCATAAGGCACCGGAGACAAGGACGAGGTATCACCATTGCTCTTTCCAATCCCATCAGATGATAGCTGGTTTGCTGGAGATCCTGTTGCAACAGGCATGGCCCCAGCTGCTAAGCTAACCACTCCCATCCTTCCACCCTGCAGTGCAGAGCCTTGCATCAAATTTGAGCTCAACCTTTGATCCGCAAGCCCCATAATCCCATCACTAGACAAAGGCAGCTGAGACCCATATGTGGTCTCAGTAGGCTGCTTTGGAAATATTGGTTGTGGCTGATGTGCTCTAACTCCATTAACATTCAACAATAAGTTCGAAGATTGAATTGGAATATGATTGTTATTGCCAAAGAATCCTCCATTGTTGGGGTTTCCATTCAATTGAGTATCCTCTCTCACAACTCCAGCTCTCAACAAAAATTCCTCAAGTGTCATCTCCCCAAGAGTTTGCTGCCTCTGTTGCAAACCAGAAGCAACAATACTCCCATCTTTAGAACCACCATGTTCATCCATTATGTCCTTCCATACCTCATCCACCTTCTTCTGGCTGAGTGTCCGTGGCAGTGTCAAAGAGCCTTGTCTCTGCAAATACCCACCACTACCATTAACACCACCAGCCCCTTCTTTAGCAGCAGCAGCAGCAACAGCAACAACAGCAGCAGAAGATGCCATCGTTTGCATTTCTTCAGCGCTCCAAATGTTCTTCAACAGCTCATCCATGTTCATTGACCCAAAATCCTTCCCTATACTCCCCATACTCTGAAACTCATCGAATGTGAGCGAGTAGATAGATGATTGCCGCGCTAATGGATGGTTAGCAGAAGGCCGCCCACCTCCTCCGCCGTTTCCGGCAGATGGGTCACTCCCAAAATCCTTGAAATTCATCTCTTCACAGTTGTACGAAATGGGATCAAATCAAACCCGAAATCGGATCGAACCACCAAAATATCACTCGAAATTCAAGATCATTTAGCCTACGAACAAAGATTGAAACTCCAATCACTACAAGACAAACCCCACATGCAAAGATACTCAAAATCAGTGGAGTTTATATCAGTAGAACTCCTCAAAACAGATTTCCAGCAAACCAACAGTTCAAAAACCCAGAAATCCCTCACTGCAACAAGTCCAGTTCAACACAGAATCACCATGAACAACAAATTCAAAGGGGTAATCAATCCAAGCTATGAACTAAAGCAAGAACTGATCAAACTACTACCAAAAACACCACAAATCAAGCAAGAAAAAATTAAAAATCAGGGAAAACACAATCCAAAATAAACATATATATATTTATTTTATACAAATTCCCCCCTTCGAATTGTTTTTTTCTGGTAGCTAAGTTGGCTGCGTACCTTCTTCTTCGCTATATTAGGGCTTTCTGGAGGCGCCAAGTGTCGGCTGTTGCTTCCAATCTCTCATGGTTTATGATTATTATTATTATTATTATTTTGTTTTTTTTTTGGTCGAATTTTTTTTTAATTTGTAGGTTAAGAAGATGAGCTAAGTTTGCGTTAAAATTACTTAAATACTTTTTAATATTATTATCCATTTTAAAATAAATGGGAAAGTGGGGCGCCTACATTATGAGCCTTGAAGTGAATATCACCCAATGGGATTCTGCAACGTGGCCCTATTTCCACCGTCCACGTTTACCCTCTCTTTGCTTTTATTTAATCCTTTTTCTTTCTTATAGTGCTGCGGTTCGTACAGTTAAAAAGCGCATGCACATGATCCACCCAAGATCCAATCTCCTACGCCGCGGACCACTATATCATTTTGATTCCCCCACCTTTTTTTTTTTTTTAAAATTATTATTATTATTATTAGTTTTGGAACCCATTTATAAATACTAATATTAATTTTTTTTTTACAACTGAGTCACAACGTATCATTAACCTCGGCTACCAACGTCAAATACTTTTAATATTCATAATAGTTTTAAAAAGTAAGATATCTTGGGTTGGATAGTAACCCTGTTTTTGGATTAGTCGGGTTGATCTGACTAAAAGAATTTCAATCTACCAACCAACTTGAATTTTAACAAAATAATGTAGTTTTATTCAAGAATATTCATATTTAGTTATTTATTGCGTGGGATAATTTTATTGGATAAATAATATAGTTGGGATGGTCTTGATTACAGGTGATTATTTTTGTCCATTTGTGCGCCTGTAGTTCGCAATTTCTTCAAAACGCTCAATCCCCATCCACTTAAAATAGTGTATATATATATATATATATATATTATTGTTTTTTTTATATTAATCAATATTGACTTGATTTAGAGCCTTCATATGGAAACGTGACAAAAAAAAAATGGCACAAGTATTAAGATATGGTTTATTATTTAATACAATTACATAATCTAGAACACGACTTTCCACAATAGAATGGTATTGTCCACTTTGAACATAAACTTTTATAGCTTTATTTTGAGTTTTCAGAATTGTTGTACCAATGAAGATAGTATTTATTGATTATAAACTCAGGATCATTTCTTAGAGATAATACACTATATTAAAACAAAATATATTTTGTTAATTCATTTCATTTTTTAAAAATGGTTTAGGAATATTCTAATCAAAATTTTATTAAATGTTTTTCATCCTATAAATAATTTTAATAATTAATTAGAGGTGTAGTCAGAAGTTTTTTTTTTTTTTTAATTCAAATATATATAAGAGTATGATAACTTAAGGAATACAATCATGAAGTTGAAAGTACCATAGATTCCTAGAGGCATACCGAAAAGCAGAAAAGCAGCAGTTCCCACTCTCGACCCATGTAACAAACCTTCAACGTTTTAGTTTAATTGAAATGAAAAAACTATAATTTAAAAATTATTTATACTACAATATATGTCGATAAGATGTCGACTTTAAAGCATATAATATTCACCAAAAGGTCATAAGCTTGAAGCTTGAATTCACCTTTCCGGTGAGCATTATAAAGTGAGGATAAAATATATTGAAATAAAATATGGCTTAAATTCCAAATTTGGTATTTTATAGGATAATTGAATTAAAGTTATAATAAATCACAATAATTTATTTTTTTGTTTGAGTTATTATTATTTATGAAGGTAATAAAGTTAAAATTAATGATTGGATAAATGGGAACGTGGGATAGTTAAAGAGGGGAAGGTTTGGAAAAAAAAAAAATAATAAATAAAATACAGGATCTTCCCACCTAACTCTTACCTGTAAATGGGCAATATAAATAAATATTGTTATAAAATCCTTGCTTCCATCATCTTTTCTTTTTTTGGAAAATATAAATAAATAAATAAATAAATAAACGTGGCGCACATTCATTGGGGCTCCGACCCCATCTCGATTTGGTTTGAAAGACCACACCAATATTAATTATAATTATGTATGTGATATCCATTTGTATTTCTCGTTCTCTCGTTTGTATCACATATTTACCAGCTTCTAATATTTTCTGTCAATATTAGTAATAAAAGTATTTTTTTTTTTTTTTTTAATTTAAGAGCATTTTATGGACCTGATTTTATTTGGACCAGTGATTTTGGGCTTTTTATGGACCATTTTATGGACCTCTTGAATGACACTAAAATTGTGAAAATTTCACTACATGTAGCCTAGGATCTACGGGCTTCCCCTTAAGGACTTTCCCTTTCGGGCCTCAAAAGGGGGTGGATTGTGATGTTCCACATTGGTTGGGGAGAACAAACCACCGTTTATAAAGGTGTGGAAATCTTCCACTAGCTTCCTCCTATCGATGTGGGACCACCCCCAAATCCACCCCCCATTGGGGCCAGCGTCCTTACTGGCACACCGCCTTGTGTCTACCCCTTCGGAGAATGAGAAGGCTGCCACATCGTCCATTGTCTGGCTCTGATACCATTTGTAACGGCCCAGATCCACTGCTAGCAGATATTATGACTTTAAAATGCTAGGGGAAGGTTTCCGCACCCTTATAGTTTGATCTCCTCCCCAACCAATGTGAGACATCACATATCTTTGAGTTGGAAATAATTTTCTTTTAGTTAAATTAAAAAATAACTTCAATATTATAAAAAATGTATAAAAAATACCCTTAAAATAAAATTCTAATTTGGTTTTGTTTTATTTTGCTCGAGAATTAGGTAACAAAAAGACAATTTGTTGACATAGGTAACAAAAACTACCATAATAATTCAAGAGAAATGAAGATTTTATTGAGATAGAATAATAGATCAATCAATAGGGATTAAAGAATGACACATAATAGGATCAAAGTAAATGACCATAGTGGGAGAGATAGGTATCAGCCAACCATTTACCCAAAGCAATCTCAGTTGCACTATTAAAATGACCATGATCCCAGCTAAAGCCTTCATATGTGGTAAAGTTTATAGGCAACTCCCACGAGTCAATAGTAATGATGTCTGGAAGCTCTTTTTGGACTGCATCTTCAGCTGCTCTCACTGCTGGCAAATCATGAGTATCGTGCTTCATAAAAAAGTCATACATGGATATTTTAACAATAATGACAGGTAAAAATCTAGGTTTTATATCATTGCGGATGTCGGTGATGAACTTCTTTAAGTTGTCTTTGTATCTATGAGCAGTGTCACTCATAGCCGCATCGCTCTCTCCCTGATACCAAAACAAAGCACGCACAACCCCACCTTCTTTTTCTGATGTTTTAATTCGTTCAATGAAATTTTGGTAAAAAGTTGCACTAGTATTGCTAGGGTTTTTACTCCATTGTTCAATTAAAGTGCCACCTCTAGCACAAGGAACTAAACCCACGACGCCTGCCTTTTTTCCAGCTTTAGCTATGAACTCGTGAGCAAATGCTATTCCTGGACCAATCCCTGGAGTTTTGCCGATGTCAATCCCCAAATGGAGAGGTTCATGTGCTATCTCCCACTGGCGCTCAGGGTTCAACCGTAGGATGGATGGGTCGGATTGACAATCTAATGGGACCTTCCCATCCCACACAAGAATCCCCTCTGTATTGTTCTCTACCCCACCTCGACCAGCCATGTTGCTCTGACCGGCAAGGATAAATATATTTGTAGGAGAAGTAGCTCCTGAAAGGGAAGGGCTAAACAACATCATACACAACAAGATTGATAATTTCAACAAAACCATTTTGACCCTTTGTGTCTGTGCAAATAGACAGAGAAGCAATGTATAAATGAATTAAATGTGTCTACTTGTACAGACACAATGCCCTCCCAGTAAAGCTCTTATCACTCTCCCCTTCTATTTCGTAATTGATCTTTGCTTCTATGTTCGTTCATCCATGACCCTCACTTTTTATACTTAATTTTGATTCTATTCTTAGTATAGTTTAAATTTTGGTGAATATTTGTGGTTCGAGAGTGTTTTTAGATCTTAATCCCCTTGGATCTCACCTAATTTACCTAGAAGTATAAAAATAAAACTTCAACCACGTACTTTTTTAATAATTTAATTATTTTTTATTTATTATCATTTTCGTGTTTCAATCTATCTTACATAAAATACATCAAAATATATTAGCTTAATTCATGAAGTAAATAAATATATTAGCCTTTTGTTTTAAACCTATCTTCTTTTCTAATTTCATATTCTATATTATGTCGATGTTCTTAATATATTAATAAAACAATATTATCAGAACATTAGCATAATTTAATCCAAGATAAAAAGGTTAGAGGCTCTAATCTCCCACTGACCTTTGTAAACAAATGTAAATTAAATATAGCTAATTCGATAAATACACTTATTATCATTGTTAAAGCTGATGATTAAATCTTCGACTTCTACATGTTAACTAGATATGTTTACGAGGTAGAGTGAGGAATGGGGTCGGGATCGTCCTCGTCCTCGTCCCTATTTCCTATTTCAATTACCATCTTGTGAATTTTTTTTCCGAGCCAGGGCAAAGATTCCCTATCGAGAATTCGCGGAGATTGAAATATAAAACATCTAAATAAATTTAATAATATTTCATAAACAAAAAAGAAAAAAGAAAAAAGAAAAAAGAAAAAAATATATATTTACTTGTTTATTAGTTAATTTAGTTTCGATATATATATATATATATATATATATATATATATATATATAAATAAAAAAAGATTGAAGATAATACATTTGAGTATTTACTAAAAATAAAGGGTACACGTGGCACGTTTATAATGCGACCATCTTTGACAACCAACAATGGGCTGGCAAGTACATTGTACGAAGAAGTTACAACAAAAGTCACGGTTTCTCCCAAATTCCATGATACCACCTGTCAACTTATCAACCCCCCTCCCTCCCTCAAACAAAATCATTTTATTATCTCTCACCCACCTTCCATCCCCCCGCGTGAATCTCACAACATACCATCCGTACACCAAACCCACTTCAAAAGGCGCGTGAAGAACACACGCGCTGTATAACAAGTACTCCGGGATTTGGGCTTGCATAGATCTCCGCCGACACATGTGGCTTTTTATTGGCAGACCCTTTTACTTTTCATATTCCAAATTCTTCCCCTCATTTTTTATTTATTTAATTTTATTTTTTGGGTTTTTGGAAGAATTTCGGAAAATTGCGAGGAAAACGATGGCGTAGATCCCACTCAATTCCCCAGAAAGCAACGGAAAAACAAATTAAAAAAATAAAAAATAAAAAATAAAAAAATTATTATTAATTTTCGGAACCCCACAGCCAAATAGTATAAATATAAAGGACAGAATTGCAATCCATATATATATATATATATACACACACGTGTGTATATTCATTGTGCGTGTGCCAATTCGTTGTTTATCTTTTCTTTTTATTTTTTTTTATTTTACTCTCTCTGTCTTCGCTCTGTCTTCCGTAGATCTCTCTCTCTCTCTCTCTCTCTCTCTCTCTCTCTTGTTTCTTGAAGTGCGCAAGGAAGAAGGTGGTTCTATACTTGTTTGGATTCGTGGCTTTTGGGCGAATGGGAGCTTGCGGATTGAATTGACGTTGTTTTAGTTTATAGCGGAGTAAAATGGATGGTGGTGATGGAACTGTGAGGCTTGGGGCTCTGAACTTGAAGCCGGATCGGAGCGGCTTTGATTTGGGACCTGATGTGTCTGTTTCGTCTCCGGTGACCAGGCAGAAAGCCGCCGCTGCTAAACAGTTTATAGAGAATCATTACAAGAATTATCTCCAAGGTCTGCAGGATCGCAAAGAGAGGTAAGATATATTTCGTTGTAGAGGAGCTTTTGTGCTGGAGTTTTTTGTTTGTGGTGAATTTTCTGATTGACTGATGGCGAGTTTAGTTTTATGGTCTGCTGTGAATTTTGTGGACTTGAGGAGACTTTGAGAAGAAATTGTGGAAAGTGTCGATTTCTATTAGAACTCCGTAATTATTGCGGAAAATCTAAGCATGACGATGTTTATTTTGTGTTTTTGTGTTTCCAGACGGAGAACGCTTCAACGAAGAGCGCAAGAAGCTCAGGTATCAGCTGAAGAACAGGAAGAGATGTTGAGGAATTTGGAACGCAGAGAAACAGAATTTATGAGACTGCAAAGACGTAAAGTTGGAATTGATGACTTTGAACAATTAACAGTCATCGGTAAAGGTGCATTTGGTGAGGTATATGGGAAAATGCTATTTGCAGAAACTTGAACTCTGATCGCCGTGCTTGAACTTCATTTCAATTTTTTGTCTGAACAATTGCTTATTTGCTTGTTGGTTAAGCTAGACGATTCAGTTCTACTAAAACTGGGACAGGATTGCCCTAAGAATTTTCTCGTATCTGCTCTCATTTACGATACATATGCAGGTTAGATTATGTCGTGCAAAGGGAACTGGGGAAATTTTTGCCATGAAGAAGCTGAAGAAATCAGAGATGCTTAGCCGTGGGCAGGTGAATTTGGAATGTTATGTACTTGTATCTGTACTCAATCAAACATACACCTCTGCTCAAGAAACGCCTTTGCGTTGGCTTCCTAATAGTGCATTAGTAGTATAATCAGCGCGTCCACAAGAAGAATTTTGGAATGTTAGTTCTTTTGGTGCGTAAGTATGTATGGTTGCAGATATTGGTGCGTAAGTATGTATGGTTGCAGATAAAACTATGATCATGAAGAATATGAATTCACTTGATATGATTCTTAAGCCACTAAAGTAGCTTAGCGAATACATAAACTTTTGCTTACATGGAAACTTCCGGAGAATGTGAAGAAATGAGCTTGCTCATGAGTTCGGAATATATTTCACAAATAATTGGGATCATAGAATTTCTAATGTCATATTCTGGAAGGCTTTTCAGTAGTGTTCATTTCTCGATGAGTTCCTATCTATGTATCTCATCATATCAATGAAATGTCTATCCTTTCCTGTACATACAACACACATACACGTATCTAATGGCGTATTTTCTTTCTTTTACATGTTCCAGGTTGAGCATGTTCGATCCGAGAGGAATTTACTTGCAGAGGTTGATAGTCGATGCATTGTAAAACTCTTCTATTCTTTTCAAGACTCTGAATTCTTATACCTTATTATGGAGTATTTACCTGGCGGTGACATTATGACATTACTAATGAGAGAAGACGTTCTGTCGGAGGATGTTGCTCGCTTTTACATAGCAGAGAGCGTTTTAGCTATTCATTCAATTCATCAGCACAATTATATACATAGGTATATCCCATTTTTACATTGACATAAGAGCTTTTTCCAAGAGTCATATTCTTCATCTTGAATTCAGATGATTAAATGCTTCTATATTCAAGTAAATATTGGGGCTTACTCTTACTTGAACAGTACTTGGCTTACAGGGATATAAAACCAGATAACCTGATACTAGATAAGAATGGCCATCTGAAGCTTTCAGATTTTGGCTTGTGCAAGCCTCTGGATGATAAGTATTCAAGTATACTTTTGAATGACGAAGATTTAACAGCCCAGCAGGCCAAAAGTGAAGGTCAAGGTCATACTGACACTAATGGATCCCAATGGATGATGCCAAAAGAACAAATTCAACAGTGGAAGCGTAATCGCCGTGCATTGGTATTGGATTTATCATCTGCTTTATCATTTCCTTCTTTGTTCAAACATTATTAGGTTCATAATCACGCTATTTATCTCCAGGCTTTTTCAACTGTTGGGACCCTGGATTACATGGCACCTGAAGTATTGCTTAAGAAAGGATATGGGATGGAGTGTGATTGGTGGTCATTAGGGGCTATTATGTATGAAATGCTGGCTGGTTATCCTCCTTTTTGTTCTGATGATCCAAGGATGACTTTCCGCAAGGTAAAATCTGTTCAGCAATGTAGGCTATTTTGTTTCTGGTTTATGATGTATACAGTCGTTCATATGGATTTCTTTCAGATAATAAATTGGAGAACTTGCCTGAAATTTCCCGAGGAACCGAAAATCTCAGAGGAAGCCAAGGATCTTATCATTCACTTGCTATGTGATGTTGAAACCAGGTTGGGAACTCGAGGAGTAGAGGAAATAAAGGTAAGCCAGACAAAGAAAACATTTCCTTTTAACTTATGTCAAGAATGGAGAGTAATAGCTTTTATTTGTTCTATTACAAAGTACAAATGAAAGATTTCATTGAGTTTCTCAAATTGAAAAAAAAAAAGAAAGAAAGATCAAAGAGTTCATCTTTTATTTTTAGCAGGTAATTTTCATCTGATTAATTATTCTGATAGGCACATCCATGGTTCAAAGGGATTCATTGGGATAAGCTGTACGAAATGGAAGCTGCGTACAAACCAACTGTCACAGGAGAACTAGACACTCAGAACTTTGAGAAATTTCCTGAAGTGAGCATGACAATAAACCTTGCATACAATTGATAGTTTGACCCCTTCACTTCCTATTTAGCTCCAAATCTGCCAAAGATTAAAGAATTGTTACTGAGTCATAACATATCTAGATTGTCTTAGTATGAAATTTCATCTCTACCTTCAATTACAGGTACTCATGGTGTGAGTTCTTCATGGGATTCTTTGTCTTCCTTTGTCGTAATTTACGGATACTGTGAAATGTACTCCTTTTGACATAAGTTTTTAAACCTCCATTGAGGTGTAGAAATAGAACTTGAAAATCCTTACTTGCCACGTCTAATCTTTCTTAATCTTTTGCTCAAAGTTTATTGTACTAAAATTCTTCTCCTTCCCTTTCCCCAAAATGTAGGTTCAAGACCCTCCATCAGATATGCCAACTGTTGGCCCTTGGAGGAAGGTAATAACGTACTTTTCTAGCAAGAATGATTGTGGAATGGTGCTTGCGTTTGATAAGTTGGAATGCTTTATTGCTAAGCTATTATCTCTGCTTCACACTTCAATTTTAATCTTCTGTGAGAACTTGTTGATTAACATCATTTGGTGATGTGTGTTTGGCCTATTGATTTCTTGTTGACCGTGACTCTACTTTCTGTTTGCAAAGTATTGGGTACTTCCATAACTCGTCTGTTTTTCTTTGATTCAAACTGGGGGGACTTAGTGGGGGGGAATAGTTTGATAGTTGCACCTCTTTTTATTTTTTTTATTCCTTAAGCTGCGTACTTTTTGCTCGATTGCCCATTTTATGCCATTTCCACTTTCCTTCAACCTCTTCTTTTTTGTTTCAGATGCTAACTTCAAAAGATACCAATTTCATTGGATTTACTTTTAAGAAGTCAAACGTCAAATCACTTGAGAGTACAGGTACATTGAACTATATATGTCATTTCTTTAAATCACTTCTTTGCGTTGGATGATGAAAATCCCACATCGACTAATTTAGGAAATGATCCTGGGTTTATAAACAAAGAATACTCCATTGGTACGAGGCCTTTTAGGGAAGCCCAAAGCAAAGCCATGAGAGCTTTTATGCTGAAAGTGGACAATATCATATCATTGTGGAGAGTCATGTTCCTCTAACATGATATCAGAGCCATGCCCTAAACTTAGTCGTGTCAATAGATTCGTAAATCCTCAAATATCACACAAAGGACTCCAAAAGAAAAAGGAGTTAAGCTTCCTCGAAGGCTGCCCTAAACTTAGTCGTGTCAATAGATTCGTAAATCCTCAAATATCAAACAAAGGACTCCAAAAGAAAAAGGGAGTTAAGCTTCCTCGAAGGCAGTAAAAAATGACTAGGACTCCAAAGGAGTCGAGCCTCGATTAAGGGGAGGCGCACTTTGTTCGAGGGGAGGTGTTGGATGATGAAAGTCCCACATCGGCTAATTTAGTGAATGATAATGAGTTTATAAACAAATAATATTCTCCCTATTGGTATGAGGCCTTTTGGGGAAGCTCAAAACAAAGCCACGAGAGCTTATGCTCAAAGTGGACAATATCATACCATTGTGGAGAGTCGTGTTCCTCTGTTGGTTCAACTTCTTAACTAGTTGAGCTATACTCAAAACTTATGCATACACAGTTTGCCTCGAAAGTTAGAAGAGACATTATTGTAGATAATAATAAACAATAACATATTAACACAAATATAAATTTGTAGGTACAGAAATTCATTCGAACATGTCATGGAAAACACCGTCTCTAGTTTCCTTGTTGGGTATGGTTTTCTTCTCCTTCCCTTTCCCTTTTTCCTTGGTTTCTAGCTGCTTTCTTTCTTTAATAGCAACCTTCACTGATGGCTCAGGTCGAATAGATTTGCAAGAAACTGTGATACCAGAAGTTGAGCAAAAGCAGGAAGGATAAGACTTTCCTTCTTCTGTGAGTAAATTTTGCTGAAAAGAAATTACACAATATATATGAGGTTTGCCCACAGTAGTTTGATATTATATGAAGATTATTATCACTTTTAAGATAATGCTTCACTTCTGAATACTGTTATATTTCATTACAACTGTAAAGAAAAATAAGCATCTGAGTTCAATAGGATTAATTTTTCTTCTTCACATCATCATGATTCCCAATGCTCACTCACATATTCTTTGAAATAAAGTACAACCAGAACAATCTGTAGTAGACCTTGACTTCCAAATTAATTACTTTAATTTAGGGAGAAAAAAAAATAGTACAATTCTCTTCGATATTTCCAAAGCTAAAAAAATACAAAATTGTGAGCTCTCACCTTGGGGAATTTAATTCTTTCCCATGTAGTAACAACTGTTAGACAAAACGACTCTCCACAATGGTATGATATTGTCTACTTTGAGCATAAACTCTCATGGCTTTGCTTTGGGTTTCTCCAAAAAGTCTCATACCAGTGGAGAGAGTATTCCTTGATTATAAACCCTAAACCATTCACTAAATTAGCCGATGTGAGACTTTCATCATCCAACAACAACAATAAATAAATCGAAGTAATGACCAGGAGATGTACAAAATTGAGTTCTAAGAAGATTTGGCCTTCAAAAACTGGTCACCGGCCGTCAAGAAAACATGCTCCCCCAATACCACCTCCACACCCGGCTGGCCATCGATGAAATCCACCCTAATCTGTTTCACCCAAAACAAGCTCAACAGTTTAATACACTCAGTAAAAAGTTGGCATAAATAAGAGGAACATTAAGCTTTTAGGCCCTGCCAAATTAAAACAAACCTTGCCATTTCCGGAGGAGAACTCCGACTTCAAGTTGGAGAGATCTCTTGATAAAAAGTAAACTTCAAGTGCTCGGGCTGATTTCTCGTTACCTAAAACCATTCTCATGAGCATAAGAAAGAGAGAGAGAACGAGGGAAAGGAGAGCGAGAGAGCAAGAGATACTATATACCTTCATATAAAGCAGTTATAGAATCTGAATTGAACACTGGTACTGGTCTGGCCAAGATAATCGAAAACGAAATCCCGGCTACGTTGTGGAAACTTTCTTCAGCAAGTGTGACCTGCAAATTTCGAAAAACCATAAACTCGTATCGTCAATATGATTTAGACGCAACATTTCTTCAGCAACCATGGATAGATTGAATATGGTAACAGATGAAAACTCGGTGGATCATTTTAATGTATTTGAGCTACTGAAAAATGATTATAGCCCATATTTGGTTCTTGTGAGATCCCACGTCGGTTGGAGAGGAGAACGAAACATTCCTTATAAGGGTATGAAAACTTCTCACTAGCAAACACGTTTTAAAACTGTGAGGCTGACAGCGATGCGTAACAAGCCAAAACGAACCATATCTTCTAGCGGTGGCTTGGGGCCGTTACAAATGGTATCAAAGCCAGACACCGGACGGTGTGCTAGTTAGGACGCTGGCCCCCCAAAAGAGGTGGACTGTGAGATCCCACGTTGGTTATAGAGGGGAACAAAACATTCCTTACAAGGGTGTGAAAACCTCTCCTTAGGATACGCGTTTTAAAATTGTGAGGCTGACAATAATACGTAACAGACCAAAACGGACAATATCTGTTAGTGGTGGGCTTAGACCGTAACAAACTTCTTTTCTAATGCAACTCATTGACTAATGTTATTGTCAAACTCGAAGGTTTTTAATTTACAAAACGTTTAAATTATTGAATATTTTATAATATCAAATCAAGATAAGGAATAACGCCAATATTAATATCATTCACTATAAAGGGGCAACATGTTATAGAACATGAGATGCAACTTACTGCATATGAAGGCAACACAGCAGATGGAAGCAGGGGGGAACCGATCGCCTCACTTATGTATAGTTCCTACGAACGAGTGCAGCTCATTTAGTCATGGACCGAGGACATTTAAGATGTAAAGTAGCTGAGATTGTAGGTTAAAAAATAGGCAGCTTGCTACTGACCTGTGCACGTAGCACTCGCTCGGCTACTGAAATATCGTCATCTAGTGATCGAAAATACACCTCTACTGTGTCAGTAGGTTCAAGGGCAGCTTTCTTCCTCAACTTCTGGATTCTATTAACAATCTAAAAATGGATAACTAGTTAGTTAGGATATAACAGAATTCTTACGAAATTTCGCTACCGATACCACACTGCCATAACAAAATGTATCAATGCATAGCATTTGGCTAACAATTCGACAAAGGATGCCGGCTACAACGTCCAACTTTCTCTAAATAGAAAATATAAATTCATTCAAAGAACTCGTGAGTAAAACCATGGGGTGGCTAAGTCACCGACCCGAACTCAAGGGAGATTAAAAATCATATATAGAGATCAAAAGCAAGGAACGTGCAAGATACCTCACGAGCGACACCGGCCTCAAATAGAGACTCGTCTGGACGTAAATCCAAAATCACAAGTACATCACCTAAAATGAAGTACAAGAAAAAAGTGAGATTTAAGACCCTTAGATGGTTAAATAACATTGATTTGTTAAAATTTCTCACCATCTCCAGAAGCATCTATTTCCTTATCTGTCATACCATCGGGTCGTCTGAAATCCCGGACAACCTTAAGATAACGGTGAATTCCAGGGTAAGTTAGTAATGAGTAGAATCTAAATAGTTCTTCAAAATAAAAAAATAATGGTCGAAAAAGATGGCCCGCCCCCAAGAGCACAGACCAACATGATAACCAACTACACCATGACACCTCAATTTCCCCCAGAGCACAAAGAAAGTAAGATATATCAGCAATAACAACGTTGCTTAACAAACTAAATTCTTCATACACCATGGGTCTAGAGCCCACCTGTAACGACCCAAGCCCACCGCTAGCAGATATTGTCCTCTTTAGACTTTCCCTTTCGGACTTCCCCTCAAGGCTTTAAAGCGCATCTGCTAGGGGAAGGTTTCCACACCCTTATAAAGGATGTTTTGTTCTCCTCCCCAACCAAACATCACTCTTTCTCAATAATATGATCGAGGTATGCATAGGTAATTAGAAGTGCCGCTTCCAAGAAGCTCAATTAACAGACATCTAATATTAGATGGCTACATAGGACAAGGGATACCAAAAACATATGTATCTCAACATACACATACATATAAACACCCCTGTAATTAGGCCTCATGAACACTTGTGCTACTCAACCAGAGATCATAGTACATTTCGAAAGAGAAATAGATACCTTTATCTCAGATAACCTTAAACAATGGGTAGCAATTGTGACATTTCCCACTTTCTCAAAAGCCAAGATATCTTCCTGTGACATTGCTTTCACTTCCTTTGCCACAACTCCCATAGCTTTTCCAAGACGCTTTCCCAATAAACTAGAATAGAACAATCGTGTTCAAACATCTGGACAGAGAAAATAATCACTTCAAAAGGAAAATTTTTCAGTACCTAAAGTCTGGCTCAGCACGGAGAGATGCATACTTCAATGTATCATTGCATGGGATAAGAGATCTTATATTTAATTCCTCTAGAACGTACTGCAGAAAAATTAGGTACAGATAGGCCATAAACAAGTAGTTGAGGAACAAAGAGATAATATTAAGCAGAAACAGAGAGAAAAAAAAAAAAAGGATTAACACAAATATTTATGTTATATGAGAAACTAGACATTCCAAGTTCATTGTGATAATAAACTTAATTAACATCCTTACAAAATGGATTATGGTATAAGATTCGACCCCCATAAAAAATAAGAACGCCGAATCAAAGAAAAGATATAGATACCTCTCTTAGCTTTCCGGCTATGTCATCAAGAAAATCTTTATCAGGATGAACCACTATCATTTCTCTGATGAGATTACAGAATCAGAGATGGCAAAGAAGAGGATATAGAAAAAAAATCAGCGAGAAGCAGAAGCATATGCATAGTAGATTATAGAAATTCGGGAAAGTGAACGCATACCTCAAAGGTGTTTTAAGAGGTTTGTTATGACGCTCCCGAATGTTGCGAGCAAGATCAATAATTGTCATCATCCTCGTAACACTTTCTTCAATTCTTTCACCTCTCTAAGCACTCAATGAGGAATATCGAATAGTGAAAAACAGGAATAAGAAATAAAATTGGAAGCAGTTTGAATAATATGCATTCGTGAGAATTTATGTTCAAATCAAGGTAGGTGTGGATGTTGTTCTTTTTATACATTAGAAAGAAAAACAAAAGGCACAAACACTTTTTTTTGTTTATGATTTCTGAAGCACGAGTAAAGAGCTTAATGTCGTTCAACTTCTAACAGGTTTCGTAATGTTTTGTCATTCAGTGTACGAACAGAACAATACAATCCTTTGAAATATGACAGGAACCCAAGGTTACAAAAATGGTTTTCAATTCTTTGACATCAGAAATTAGATACAGCCCCCCTTCCTCTCAAGTATTCCAATTGGAGGTCAGGAGATGGGCCAATTTGTATGCAGAAATAGGCTGAAAGTGAGTCGTCTTTTAATTGTGGATGATCTTATTATCTCCATAATATTTACCTACATTGGATGGATGATCCTTTTCCTTGCCCAATCCCCTCTATATAAGAGAAGTGCCCTGTTAAACCTAGCCACCCAGGAAATAATTTCCAGAAGTTTAATGATAATCAATACCTTTCCTCCTTCTTGAGGATAAGAGCAATAATGAATGCTTTCCTCAGACCCATCAGAAACTTTGCGCAAGTTTTGATATAAAACTTCAGTGAAAAACGGTGTAAATGGCGCCATGACCTTACAAGATGTTAGAAGGACCTGAAGACACAATGTATTGGGTGTTAAGAATGAATAGAAACTAGAATCAACAAGGAAATAACAGACTGACAGTTAAAATGCCATGTTCGTTTTCTAAAACTAAAACTAGCATGTCATGTACAGCATTTCATATTAATTTACAGAGATACCAATAGCAATAAAAAAACAGAATAGAGAATCAGAAACCACATATGCAGACTTGGACAATCATTTATCTAAATATAGGAAAAATATGTCCCATACATGGTACAGAGTAGAAAGAGCTATCCGGCAGTCTTCTTCCCCAGTACGGCCTTTTAGTCTCTTGCGGTTGAACCTCACATAGATATTTGTAAGGTTGTCAAGGAACTTTAAGAGATACGGAACTACCTGTAGTATCATGTGTGCAATTAGTGAT